CAATTTTCGCTATTTGAGTCACCAATGTCTGCAACACGGCGGATAATAGTATTTGCACACAAAGCTACATTTTCGAATTGTTTTGAATTTTCCGTGGACAAAAAGATCGCCGCGGACCGGATTAGAGGACCTCGCGGGCCGCATCTGGCCCGCGGGCCGTAGTTTGGAGACCCCTGAAGTACACTATCATGTCAGCTTATTAGGTACCTTTTAAAATATGGTGAATAAAAGAAGTGTTTAAAAAAATAACTTACACGAATATGCCTATTTTTTCAAATTATTTTTTTTTTACCCAAAATTAGCCAGTTTCATTGCTAAACAAACACAGATTTCTATAAAATATTTAAGTCCTGAAAAAGTTTATTATAGAAATTTATTTTTGGAATAGATTCTACAGTAGATAGAGTCTAAATCTAGATCTAGAATAGATCTTAGCGACGTAGCGTCTAAGTGTAGTTTTACGTAGATCTAGATCTAGTCTAGATCTAGAATCTCTAGATCTAGAATCAAAATAGATAAAATATTTTTTTTAAGTTTAGGCCGATAATATCGTATTATGTAGTCTACATTTCATAGCGTACATAGCTCTAAATCATATTTGAATGAAATAGTTCATTTTTTAAAATTCTAAACTCGGAAGATGACGTCATCAGTTTCGTGCTCTTTTTTTTTTTAAATTTTTTTTTTTTAAATTGTGTTCCTCTCTTGCTACTTTCCCTTCATGGGTCGGCAGCAAAGAGCAGGTTTACATGAGAATATTTATACATATTATACAAGTTATCACATGTCTAATACAAAACGTTTATAAAATGGTAAATTAACAGAGTTCTATATTTTCCATGTTGCTGGTCGTTTTACCACAAGTGAAGATTATCTGTATGCACCCGTATGCCCTCTAATGGGAGGTGCACCGTGCAAATGCTGCATTTGTATAATGTTTCGTCAGGGTGAACATCCCTGTAGTGTTTGGATATGTCCGGGTAGGTTGGGCCGCCCAAAAAGCCGCACCTGTCCTTTCCGCAAATATGACACTGTTAGAATATTTTGTGCACTGTTCCTTCATGTACTTCCACCTCTAAGCTTGTCCTAAATCGTAGGGTGCAAAATTGGCATTGCGTTTTGTCGTGAATATGCCTTTCCGTTTTTAGACTCTTTGTTTGTTTTGCCTCTGTGGGGCTTTCTTTTTTCCTTTTTAGATCTGTAGCGGTATTCATATCTGATTCCGAGCTTGCTTGTTTGCTAGGGGTTGTTTGTTGGCTTGACGGCTTGGGTGGGCTGGTTGGTTTTTGAATTGGGCTTTGGGTTCTTTGGTAGGTGCGATTGGTGTGGTTGGGGCTGATGTCGTTTTAGGAGTTTCTTTGGTAGATGAAGTTGGTACCTTTGGTGCTGCTGTCGAATTAGGCAGTTTTTTTGTGGGTGAGATTGGAGCCGTTGGGTCTGACAACGTTTTAGGAGGTTCCTTGTTAGGTGAGCTTGGTGCAGATGGTGCTGATACCGATTTAGGTGGTTCTTTGCTAGGTGGGATTGGTGCGGTTGATTCTGATGTCGAGGGATCTGTTTCTTGCTGCTGTGCAGTCGTGGCTGGTTCCTGAAATACTGTTTAGTGCTCTTGTTTTAGTGTTTTAGTGTAAACAATAAGCGACGTCATTGTTAAATGCGTTCTTGTCCCAAGTTTATACACTTTTCCGGTTGCATAAATAATACTGTTTCTCTATATTGGAATACGCCTTTATTTTTTATTTTTCTTCTTTAAATAAAATTGTGATTATACATTTAAAACATCTAACATATTATTTTCAACAAAAGTCTGTAAAAAGTTCTCGATATATCGCTCCCAATTCTGACGTGATGTCCGGCGAAAATATTTTGCGGACAGAGAGAGAGAAGAGCGCACATGGCCTATTATATATTAAGAGATAAGAATATTCGAGAAAGTTTAGGGGAGATCACTCCGGGTTTATTTATTTATTAAACAATACCAACAATATTTTCAGTAGTTGTTGTTCATGCCAAAATAAAACTTTTGTCACGAGGGAATTGAGATGGCTTTCATAGAAAAAAAGTATTTGGTATTTAATATGCAAGTTTTTAAAATTTTGGATACTCAAAAGGATAAGATTTTTTAGACATTGTAAAATTTTTACTAGTAGCTATTTCAAAAAGTTGCCATGACAAAAGTTTAAAATATATTGAAATATAAGCAGGTTAAATTTGATTGCTAAAAGTGCAAAAATAAAAAAGCCTTAGCATTTTTAAAAGTGCCAAAAAATTCAAAATGGCGGAGGTTTTTTGGGGATTCCATGACAACCAAAATTGTTTTCAACCCTTTTTTTTGCTGTTTAATACTTACTTTCATGTGCCAAACATGGTAATAGTATCCAAAAGGCTTTCGATCTTAAATTGTAAAAAATAGAAAAAAACATTGCATATCCCCTTAACACCCCTCTTGCCAAGTGGTACTACTGTAGAGGTTTTTTAAACATTGCAATGCATCGTAATGGTTATTTTTAGAATGGCAAACTGATGCAGCTGTTTATACGTGTTGTAAACGTAGACACTACTAGACTAGTACAATAATGCTTAATGAAAAGAAATCTTGTGATTTACATAGATGTGCCGACCAAAAATATTTTTTTACAAATATCATTGTTTAAAACTTTGAGTTTAAAAAGTTTCCAAAAAGGCGCCACTTTGCTGAAAATGGCCAGAGGGGAAGCGGCCGCTCCCCCTGCTCCCCCCCCCCCTGCGTACGCTACTGCTCTCCACTACCTCCATGTCGTTAAGATTTATTTTGTTATATATAATGTCACTGTCGCGCCTAATTGTCAAGCACGAGATTTACGGTAATACAAAACCATTCCACCTGTCCCCACATCAGCGTTTTTCAATATCCGCTGCCGTTGTGATATAACGCACTCGTCATGCTGTCGTCACTGATTCAGCCGCCCTCGAAATATACACCGAAAGATGTTAAATTATTTTTAACTTGCTTGTGGTGTAGTAAAAGTTTCTCATTTACACGTTACGACCCAGAAGACCGATCATGTACACTTTCTTGGCCTCGGCTTAAGATGGGGTGGTGTGGTCAACACTATGCCTAGCCACCGTTACTTTCATTAACGTTAGTCAGGTAGCTGTCAGAGTTAGGTAGACTCAGGGACATCAATAACCTTAGTCAGGTACCCATCAGAGCTGGGTGGACTCAGGGACATCAATAACCTTAGTCAGGTACCCTTCAGAGCTGGGTGGACTCAGGGACATCAATAACATTTGTCAGGTACCCTTCAGAGCTGGGTAGACTCAGGGACATCAATAACATTTGTCAGGTACCCATCAGAGCTGGGTAGACTCAGGGACATCAATAACGTTGTTCAGGTACCCAACAGAGCTGGGTGGACTCAGGGACATCAATAACGTTTGTCAGGTACCCATCATAGCTGGGTAGACTCAGGACATCAATAACATTTGTCAGGTACCCATCATAGCTGGGTGGACTCAGGACATCAATAACATTTGTCAGGTACCCATCAGAGCTGGGTGGACTCAGGACATCAATAACATTTGTCAGGTACCCATCAGAGCTGGGTGGACTCAGGGACATCAATAACGTTTGTCAGGTACCCATCAGAGCTGGGTGGACTCAGGGACATCAATAGCGTTTGTCAGGTACCCATCAGAGCTGGGTGGACTCAGGGACATCAATAACATTTGTCAGGTACCCATCAGAGCTGGGTGGACTCAGGGACATCATTATTATTCTTAATAATGTTTATCATTAAAACTATTTTTAATAATGTAATAATTATTAATATTATGATTGCGGGGTGATTGTGCTTACTTTAAATGATTATGAAAATGATTTTGAGTAATAATCAGTAAATAAAATATTGTTAACATACTACACGATAAATAACATCAAATTTAATACATACCAGATTTTTATTTTCAAAAACAAAAGTTGAACCCACATAGAAATAAACCCAGTAATAAAAAACATGTAGTTAGGATGAGAAGCCAACTTTAAACTCTCCCCCCCACCCCCTCATCCTACCTCCCACAGAGAGACAGGACATTCAAACATTGCAGGCCCCATTAAGTTCCTAATGGCTGCCCTAACATCCCAAACGACATATCGCTGTCTATTCAGAATAAATCCCAAAAAATGTGTACAATAAAGAACATTTTAAAAAGATATCATATAAAAATATAAATACATTTTCTTGAGCTATAAAGGTAAATATGTTGGTCTGTTGTGTGAAACAAACCTTATATTTTAAAATCATTTCAACATGCAAGTTTGATGAAATTATATATTATTGTATTTTAATTAAAGATGGATCGGTTAAGTAAGGATTGAAGCAAATCAGTGGTGTAACAGTGGGTGAGGCATTAATTGCAAACATCTAACCAGACAGTCAGACTTTGGTAACGGAAGAAATGAGTTAAATACAACGTTGTAAATAAGTCAACGTTATCTTTCAACCAGACAACCTTATTTACCCCAACCCTTAACAACCTTATTTAACCCAACCCTCGACAACCTTATTTAACCCAACCCTCGACAACCTTATTTAACCCAACCCTCGACAACCTTATTTACCCCAACCCTCGACAACCATATTTCAACCCTAGACAACCTTATTTCAAACCTACCCGAGACAACCTTAATTAAGCCAACCCTAGACAACCTTATTTAACCCAACCCTAGACAACGTTATTTAACCCAACACTAGACAACCCTTTTTTACCCAACCCTCTGACAACCCTATATAACCCAACCCGCATCACAGCTGTTTGATGTTTATAATATATAATACCAATATATGGGTAGGTTCAATAATTATACCTGACACAATCAACTTTTTCATAAACTGTTTTTAAAAAAATCACGAAGGCGGAAAAATTAATTCAACCTTTTGCCATACAACCTTCAGATCTTCATAACAAGCTTGTTCTTAATACCCATAGACGCACACACTACATACACACTATATACACCCACCCACACATGTTCTTCCATTCAACTTTATCCGATAGATGAAGATTTAAACAGCCACCCTTTGAAGTAATCTCCCACCAACGCCTTCATTAACCTAACGGCGACAGTAGACTTTTTGAAATGATTGAAAAAGTTCGTCAATACAAAAATTAATAAAGCCGTTTTTTAATATCCACAAGTACTTGACTTTTCTGAACACCAAAGGCGATACTGAGTTGTGTATTGACTGGCTGTATCAAAGCCTTGACTTATTTTTATCAAGCGGTGCAGAAATAAATGTAGGTTAAACGTTTGAATAAATAAAAAATGTGAAGGGAATTTCATGAAGTGAAACATGCCACAATTAGCACAGTGTGAAACATTCACACTAACTGGTAAACTGTTCGCTGGTTAGTAAAACATTGCTATATTTATAAAAGATACCCTGTGTGGCTACCATCAGCCTCGACTTGAGGTACTTAAACTTTTTTGGAGGCACCGAACCCAACCATTCACCGAACCCAACCATTCACCGAACCCAACCATTCACCGAACCCAACCATTCACCAAACCTTTCTAAAATAGTTCTAACGTTCGCACTTACAAAAATCGGATCGTAAATCATGTGTCGGGTGTGTGTCTTGGGTGTGTGTCTTGAACTCCGCCGAACCCCTGCGACTGACTTACCGAACCCCTGGGGTTCGATAGAACGCAGGTTAATAAGAACTGGCCTAGAGAGATCTAGACCTATTTAAAATTGTCATCAACAGAATGTGTTCTCCGCTTAAGCTGCCAAATACATTGCATATTGGGTAAATTATAAAAGATCAAAAGTAACATTCCACGAGTCGGTTCACATTAAACAGCCCCCTGAATGCGTTTTAAAGGTAATTTACAATAGAATTTAGCACCACGTGAACTAAATGTTGGGTTGACCTTAACTTCACTAGATTTGGTTTGTGTGTAGCGTCTGTGTGTGTATGTGTGCGCGCGCGCGCGTGTGTGTGTTGGTGTGTTGGTGTTATCACAAAAAGTAACGAGTTAAAATAGCGCTTTTAAACATATCTTATTAAAACATCCATAATTAAACCAGGAAAAAGCATAGAACATTATAAACATTATAAATACAACCAAACATGTATAAAAAGGTTAGGTAAGCGAATACGATGATGACCAAATGAAATGTAAGTAAAAGATCACTGCTGGTATAATAACACAACATAACACAACAAAACGGATGTGAACATGAACTCAGTTATGCGTCCTCCTCCACTAAAGAGCTAGGTGAGACACGATTGTATACATGAACATTCTGTCTCAGCCACATGAACGAGGCTGCTTTACGAAGCGGTTCGCCGCTTTCCAAGCTGAATTCGAACCCACGCCGTCTCATCTGTTCCTTGACTTCCTCGAGTGGTTTGTTGTTTACGTGGGATAAGCCGCCTTGGCCTGGAATGTGAAAAATTAAACTTTTTTGTCTTTATTATTTGCTCATTTGTCCATTCTTTTGTTTGGTTGTCTGTCCGTCTGTAAGTATTCCATCCACCTGTCCGTCTGTAAGTATTTCATCCACTCATTTACCCGTTCGTTTGCTCGTACGTTCGTTAACCTGTTCGTTCGTGCAATAGTTCGTCCGCCCATTCGTTCGTTCGCTCGACAGTCAGAAATACTGTAAGAATGATCTCATTCATTTTTTCATTCATTCTTCTCTCTGTCCGTCCATCCATTCGTTTTTTTTTTCAATCTTCCGTTCGACAGGCAGACAAACAGACATACAAACAGAAAGGATGATCGTAACACAACTTTACCTGGCACAGCCCAGCTCATCACAATACCCTCCCTGGCATGTCTGGCCAAGTTGTCCAGATAAATATCTTCAAACTTGGCCGGAATGTGTTCACCCACCTCCACACTGATGACCCAGTCAAAGATTGGAAGGTTGTATTGGGGGACTGTCAGGTCTAAAAATATCACCTGGTAAATCATCGAAGGAAACAACGTTAATCATATTAAAGAAGAGACTTCCGTTTGATTACTGCGGTTTTCTTTGCCCATTTCCTATATATAATTTAGTGAATAAAAAACTCTTCCATGCCCCAACTACCAGACATGTAGCCCTAATAAATAGGCCTTTACCAATGAACTTTGACTTCTCAAGACGACAATAACGCCCTCCCTAATATATTTGCTCCTCCCCTTCCCCCAACTGTGCAACCTACTGCCTGACTCCCAACCCCCCCCCCCCCCCTCCAAAAAAAAATTCCGTACATACCGTTCCGTTGGTCACTGTTTCGCAGTAAGGGGCCCCATCATAGGCCGTGTAGCTCTTCACCTCACCCAAAAGCTCTACATTTTTCTTATACAAACCAGGGCCGTCGCCGAAGCTCCCAACAGTTTTTCCTTTAAAGAACTTGCTCAGGGCTTTAGAAAAACCCTAAGGAAAAACAAAGTGTTTGTCCTTTGTTAGCTTTGAATGTTGGTTATTAAGTTTAATTTGGGTGTGTGGGTTTGGTCTAGAAATATTAACGCCAAAAACAATGGATGCATATTTTACAGATTTATTGGTTATAACTTTGGTTAGGCCTAAATTTTAACACAGTTTACTGCTTAAAGTTCCGTTTTTTGAACCTGACGTCCAAAGGATTTGAACTCTAGACTTTCGGGTTAGTAGCCTAGCGCTCTACGACTTGGTCACGCCGACCCATTGTTTACTGCATACTCGAAAGTAAATTTATTTTTTACCAGCTTTTTCCCGATGTCACAGAGGTGAGATACTCAATTCAAAACTGTAGAAAAGTCTAAGACTATTGGTATAAATTATTGCTGAGTTCAAGTTCACAGTAAAGTTTAAAATTACATTAGATTAAGTCAAAAAAATGGTGTTGTGACAATACTGAACTTAAGATAGTTGGGTCAAAATTATTTGAGATGGCTCAAAATTTTCTGTTCTTGAAGGGTTCATTTTAGTTTACGGTTGGGTTCATTTAGGTTTACGGCTGGGTTCATTTAAGTTTACGGTTGGGTTCATTTAAGTTTACGGTTGAGTTCATTTAAGTTTAAGGTTGGGTTCATTTAAGTTTACGGTTGGGTTCATTTAAGTTTACGGTTGGGTTCATGTAAGTTTACGGTTGTGTTCATTTAAGTTTGTGGTTCATGTATAGTGTGTGAATTTGACAGTTAGCATAGCTACGCAGAAATATTGTACCCGTGTGTAGGCCACATAGATCAATAGGTATTGTTTAGCTTCATTGTTTTTATCTGCATTTGTTCAATATTTGAATCTAATGAGATATTTAGAGCCTAATATATCAAACTGTCATTTTATGACTCAATGGAAGCCGAATTCCAACAAGGGGGCAGGGAGCTATGGTTTAATTAATGGCAGGTAATCCATGGTCTAATAATAGTAGGTAATTAAGGGATTAATAATAGCAGGGAATCAAATGTCTAATAATAGCAGGGAATCAAATGTCTAATAATAACAGGGAATCAAAGGTCTAATAATAGCAGGGAATCAAAGGTCTAATAATAACAGGGAATCAAAGGTCTAATAATAGCAGGGAATCAAAGGTCTAATAATAACAGGGAATCAAAGGTCTAGAGTCTCATCACAGCAGGGAAACTTGGGTCTAATAAAAGCAAGATATCCCGGTCTAATCAGTGTTTCTTCCAGACTTTTTTCTCCGGGGGGGGGGGGGGGCGGTAGACTTTCTTCGGGGTTGGGGGGGGGGGGGGCGGACACTGTTAAAAGTATATATTTTCTATATAAATTATATACATTTCATTTTGTTCGGGGGGGGGGGGGGGCGGTAAAAAAATTTCGGGGGGGGGGGGAGGGGGGCGAATTCGATGCCTGGAAGAAACGCTGGGTCTAATAATAGCAGGGAATCAAATGTCTAATAATGGCAAGAAAACAAAGGTCTAATAATAGCAGGGAATCAAGAGTCTAACCATAGTAGAGAATGCTGGGTCTGACCACAGCTAAATAACTCAGTGGACAAAGCAACAACTCACCTTATCCCACTTGTGTGCCCCACCGGTTCCGCTACTCATATCCGCACACCAGCCGCCATTTTCAGAAACTTTTAACCGAGACTGTAAAGGGTTAAATAGAAAGTATTTAGAAAACTTAATTCTCGACTCTTGAGAGCTAAATAGAAACTATTTTTAATTATTTTTTAAACTGTATTGTAGACTGTTGAGGGTTAAAATAGAAATAATTTAGACAACTTAACTCGTCATTGTTAAGAGTTAAATAGAAAGTATTTAGAAAACTTGATTCACGACTGTTGAGGATTAAATAGAAAGTATTTAGAAACTATTAGTTTCGCCCATTGAGAGTTAAAATGGAAAGTGTTTTAGAAATATGTTCCAAGCTGTGGAATGTTATAAAATCACGGCTAATCGACATTTGGATTAGTGGCTTCTGAGCATACTGTTTGTATCCCTTTTCTTTCATGATGTATCTGACAATGTATCATTTTTTTAACCGGCAAAGTTTCACATGTTTTATCTGGCAAGGTATCACATTTTTTTTTATCCGGCAAAGTTTCGCGTGTTTTATCTGGCAAGGTATCACATTTTTTTTTATCCGGCAAAGTTTTACATGTTTTATCTGGCAAGGTATCTCCTTATGTAGACTTACCTTACTGAGTTTGAGTATCTGACAGCTCTGCTGGCCGTACAGCATAAGCAGGTTGTTCAGCACCATGGACAGCTCGTTTCTCTGTTCCTTAAATCGACCTTCCTCCGGGGACACAATCAGAGGGGATTTATGGGTATCCGACTCCATGTTGCGTCTCGCTCTTAAAAGATTATATATTCTCATGATTACATTTTATATTATCTTCCAGATAGATCTATTATATATATATATATTATTTATATTATTTATATTTTATATACATACGCACATACACACACACACATACACACACACACACACACACATATATATATATATATATATATATATATATATATATATATATATATATATATATATATATATATACAAGAGGTTTTCTAGATTGTCAATATTATATATGAAAGTTAGTATCTTTATTATATTAAAATTAGTATCTTCCTTTTAAATTTTAAAGTTTTATATACATTTTATGTAAAATTATTCGTCTTGATTAAGACTGTATTGCTCATAGATAAGTGTATTAGGAAACAAGGGCTATACGTTTCAATGAAGTTGAGCGACGTTATCTAGCTATAACTTACCGGTAAATTTCAGTTAAATCTTTAATGTCCTGTCGTGTCATAATGAATGCTATCAGGACCATACCAAGCACAACAAGTGCTAGAACAACACTTAGATTTTGCTGTGAGAAAAAAAAATTTAATCTAACCAACTCAATAAAATATTATCGAAACAAAATTTGGTATTTTTAACTAACCCTTAAAATATGATAAGATAAAAAAACGTACTCCTAGATCAAACATGAAAACATACAGGCGAAAAGTTTTTAAAATATGCTGCTTTCAAAAGTATGATAGAAAATTATCAAATTATTATAGTTATAGTGGGGTTTTTTTTAAAATCGAAACAAAGTGAAAACACGAATTAATGTAATCAATGGGTGGAGTAGCTTAAATAGAATAATTAACTTTTGGTCAAACAAATCACCTTCACGTAAATAACAATTCGATATTTCTTTGAATGAATACAGCATGATCCACATTTTAGATTGTCTCTGACGTCCCTGTTTTACTCTATGACACCAGCATGTACATGTCCCAACTACCTTATCATTTACCTTACTCGTTTAATGTTTTAAATTATTTTATTTTACTTAAAGTGAACAAATGTGACTTATATTACATGTGAATATTGCCACTTACCCTAATATTCATATTTTCTGTATATTTGAGACCACTGGAACAGCAAAAATCTTAAACTGATAAATTTTGGTCCAGATTAGGTCCTAGATGAAGAAACTAAAAGAAAATAAACATCAGATTTACAACAAAAATTGTAAATAAAAATGTATGAAACAAAAATATACCTAAATTATGGGATAAAGTCTTCCTAAAGATAATAAGATAGCATTGCATAATTAGAATTTATCTTAGTTCAGAGGAAAGTGAGGGGGTGAGAGGGGATGATTGAAGATATTTTTTCCCCGCATGTTCGGAACGTTCTCTTCTCAAGATGGTTTTTTCACAAGCAAAAAAAATGCCCAGACTTTATCATAAAATTTCCTTGACCTTTAGAAGTTGGGACTTGAAGCTGACAACAGCTGTATGCGTTATTTTGTCCTCTATGCTTGTCCCTCTGCGTGTAAATGAAATATGTCGAAAGGAGATATTTCGCTCTAGATTTGCTGGTTATAATGTAAGTCCATCTCAGTATGACAACTTTACATGAGTTACCGTATGAGCTAATGGACGGTGTGCAGGGGTAGTGCGGTGTGCAGGGGTATAGCGCACGACTGCTAAACGGAACGTGTTGAGCTCGGTCCCCGACTCTATGGGCACTTAATTATGGGCACCTAATCCAACGTTCGTTATGACTAAATGTTTTCTTTACACGTGTTTTTTACTTGTTGTACATTTTGGCCGCACGTATATCCAAAGAAGAGTGAGCATAGTATCGGCTTTTACTATTGGTATACAAGCCCACAACTCCTCAAGATATGAGTAGCTCAGACGAAGCAAATCAGCTTGTAATGCAAATGTTGACGAAATTTCTTGGCTGACTCATTGTCGACCTTATCGTCTTAATACGCCAAAATGTAAATAAAACTGTGTATGCCAGATATCCATTGGAATCCCAAAGCGCTTTTATGGACGAATAGTTTGCTGAAGTAATTTTTTAACATGCCAGTATCAATTTCTATAGATATGCAAACTGAGGAGGCTTCGCAATGGCTTAAATGTTTACTTTGATTTATGCCTGTCATTCTAGTCTTATTCCCACACATGACACAACTGAATGGCTACAAAACTATGTTTTATTCGTAGACAGCTGCGGTTTCAGTGTATACACCTAGTTTATCCCATTACACGGTCGTCACGATGTGTACATCCATTTCTAGCAGTTTCCTTGGCAGTCCGCACATCCGATTACCTCGTTCTACCCAGACGTTTTGATGATTAAATATCTCATTTTAAGTGTTTAATTATTATAAAATAAGTTTAAACTGGGCTTTAAAGTATGTTTACAAAAAGAATGAATGATTATTTTAACGTCAGTATGCTTTTACACCCGTGTATTAATGTATGTAATCAGATGCTCTTTGGTTTTTAAATAGCTAACAATGTCTGCTTTTTCAAAATGGGCAGAATTCTAGAACCTTCTCTAGAAATAACAAAAAATACGGTAAAATAAAATATTGGGTGTAATAAATGTGTGTTAGTAATACAAGATGTAAGGACTGCTTATCTGGTAGCTTTACACTTGAACAAGCACCTTTTTTACCCGACAAAATCGACTCTACACAACTACTACCCCTCGCTGGGTATACAAGACCCTAAGCTGCACACAGGCAACCTAGCCTGAATGGATGGCTGCCTACTTACAAATTCCAATATTCTGTGCCATAATTTAATACGGATCGTTGCAAGTTATCTTTTCGAGACGTTGAGGCGTGGTCCTACAAAGACGTTGAGGCGTGGTCTTACAAAATGATACGTTGAGGCGTGGTCTTACAAAATGATACGTTGAGGCGTGGTCCTACAAAATGAGACGTTGAGGCGTGGTCTTACAAAATGAGACGTTGAGGCGTGGTCCCACAAAATGAGACGTTGGGGCGTGGTCCTACAGAGACGTTTAGTCGTGGTCCTACAAAATGAGACGTTGAGGCGTGGTCCTACAAAATGAGACGTTGAGGCGTGGTCCTACAAAATGAGACGTTGAGGCGTGGTCCTACAAAATGAGACGTTGAGGCGTGGTCTTACAAAATGAGACGTTGAGGCGTGGTCCTACAGAGACGTTGAGGCATGGTCCTACAAAATGAGACTTTGATGCGTGGTCCTACAAAATGAGACGTTGAGGCATGGTCCTACAAAATGAGACGTTGGGGCGTGGTCCTACAAAATGAGAGTTTGAGGCGTGGTCCTACAAAATGAGACGTTGAGGCGTGGTCCTACAAAATGAGACTTTGATGCGTGGTCCTACAAAATGAGACGTTGAGGCATGGTCCTACAAAATGAGACGTTGGGGCGTGGTCCTACAAAATGAGAGTTTGAGGCGTGGTCCTACAAAATGAGACGTTGAGGCGTGGTCCTACAAAATGAGACGTTGAGACGTGGTCCTACAAAATGAGACGTTGAGGCGTGGTCCTACAAAATGAGACGTTGAGGCGTGGTCCTACAAAAAGAAGTCTGTAGGAAACTAACCTGTGGGGATCCGCTCTGATGAGCAAATAGTGAACTGGATAAAGATTCTATTTTTAAATCTACGGTGTGTTACTCGTATTCGTACGCATAAGGCGTGGCGTATGCCTCTAGTACTACCGAGGGAAAACACACTTGAAATAATCAGTAACAGTACATATCGATCCTTTGATAAAGTCCCATGAAGAATATAAATATAAATCAAAGTTACTTGAATGTTTGAACATAATTTGTGTTTGTCATTTATTTGCAATTAACAAATTGCATGATACATTTCGAATAAGACATAATTCCTTTAATTTTCACCTGATATTTTAAACATTTTATAAAAACAGTTAATATAATATTTTATTTGTACCTGAAAACGAGACATTTTTTAAACACGTAAACAGTGTAACGCGGGAGGGCGCTCCCCTAAACTTGTATAAACGTATTTAACAGTAGGGTTTTTGACCAGTGAATTTGGGCTTAAGTATGGTAGGTAGGTTTATGACAAAACTGTTTGTTTTTCGAGGTAACACATAGATGCCAAAGGTTCACAGAACATGCTGCTTTGAAAGAATATGACATAAATTCTCGAATTCTAAAGGTTTTATAGAAACCGAAAATATATAAAAGTACCATTTCGGGCACTTGAAAGAAACATACGTATTTGATCTAATATTCATATAGGAAATTTTATCTTCTTAACCGAAACGTTACTAAAGTCTTCTTGTTCACACACATACACAGAGAGAGAGACACACACACATACACAGAGAGAGACACACACACACACACACACACATACATGCAGAATATACTGTAAAATGTGTAGGATTTTTAACTCAAGATAAGTATAAAACTATTTCCAGTTTCGCTCGATCACAACACCCAGTCAGAGTTTCTTCCAGGCATCTCGTCAGGGGGGGGGGGGGGCGCTGAGACCCCCCCCCCGAAAAAAGTCTACCGTCGTCCGTCCGTCCCCCCCCCCCCCTCCCCGAACGAAATAGAATGTATATAGAAAACATACACTTCTGTTACCAGTGTCCGTGTCCCGTCCCCCCCGGAAAATGTTGACCGCCCCCCTACCCCCGAAAATATCAAGTTCACACCGCCCCGCCCCCGGAGAAAAAAGTCTGGAGGAAACACTGCACCCTGTGCTCATTATGTTAGAAGGTAAAAATCGCATGAGTCTGGGGGGGGGGGTGTCATACAGTTGAAAGATTTAAGAATTAAAGTTTGCATCGGGCTACAACCTCAAGACCTTTCAGTCACTTTATGTAATATTTATGAGAGAAAGCAAATTATTTTTATCATTGATATGAAAAATATAATTTTTGTTAATTTTTCACATATCTGTTTCTGGATTTCGACACAAATATCCCAGATAATTAACTATTACAGTAAAACGGAACTGAGATTAAAGTTGATTTAGGTTTAGTTGCATTCGTTTCCATTTAGCCTATTAGTGTTTAGCTAGATTTAGAATGCTAAGATGGGTTTTAAGTTAGGTATGAATTTCTGAATTGGCTAGATACAACCCAACTTTTTATTGAGTTTGTGTAACACTATTCATATATAATATTTTTATTTCGAAATGCTGTTATTTCAACAAATATTTTTTAGTTTAGTATTGCATTAGATTATATTAAAGTTAATTTGGGGTTTAATTAAGATGGATTTATGATTGGGTTATTTTTATACTAGATTTTAATATACGAATTGATTTGTGTTAAATTTAAATTTATAATTCAAAATTGTCCAACCACTTTTCTACTGGAAATATAGAGAAAACTAAAACCAGAATATAATTAAAATTTTGCAATAAGAAATTGATGAGTTAAGTTAATTATTTTAAACACCTATTTTTTTGACAATTAACACGTACGATATCTTACACAGCTGCTTCTCCTTTCATAATTACTCATTTACTACATAAGCCACAATGAATGATGTTATTAATTAAATTTACTACAATGTATGCTTACTTATAATGTAATCTATTTGCAAATAAATATCGTATAAATATACTAATGGAATGTTTGTAGCAAATAAAAGTAAAATGAAGCATGACAGCCTTCACTCACGTATAGCATTAATTGGTAGGCCAGGAGAAACGCAATGCCACTTAAAATTGTGTTAAAGTTGATATTTTCTTGGCCAGTGCGACACCTAGCCGGGGCGGCTCGTATGAAAACAATACAAGCTTTCTTTTCTAAAAGAATTGCCCGATTAAATGTGTAAAAGATTTCATTAATGAAAGCAAGTGTGTTTTACTTAATTATTTTCAATTAATTTAAAAAACTGATAAAATATTTTTTTAAATATTTGTTTTATCTATATAAGCCTACATAAAATTGGCGTATATCGTCTGTCCTTTTGGAAAAATAACTGAAATATATAGAATAGCTTTTAAAGATTTCTTAAATTTTATTTTATTTAAAGAACTAAATTAGTTCTTCATAATAATTGAAATTATTTGATTATTTCATTAATTAATGTATTAATTAAGTATAAATTATTAATAATTTACTCATTATAATTACGTTAAAACATGCGATGGG